AACTTGTGGGTGTGGCTACGCCTAAACTAGGTGTGGCCACGCCAAGTTCAAATATTGTGCTGAGCTTCATCTAAGTTGGTTGACCAAAAAGAAGGTTTACACCAGTCTATACAATTTATATATGAAATTTCTTTGTATGATTTTCAACCTTTTAATTTGGTTTATTATTTTGTTTGGTAGATTGCTCTTGTATTATTTATACAATTTTGAGATGAACTCAGCTGGATAGTAAGTTTGTGAACCTCTAGTCGTAGGTTGCAATTTATAAATCTGAAATATAATGATGTTGTTGACCACTTCTTAAATTTTCGGAAAGCGATTGATCTGAGCAATTTAAAATAATTCAAAATTGGTGCTTCATGTTTTTTTAGCCATTTTAATGGAATTTGAGATTAGAAGTTGCTATTGAGGCTACAAGATACTGAATTTTCTCCAAATTGCTGAAACATAAGTAATTTTTTCTCTAAATCTTCTTACTGCTTCTCTGATGCTCCAAATTGCACATGATAACAATATAAAAATGAAATTTGTGGTGTTGCATATGTAAAAATGGTTCTTATGTATGTGTTTATAATTCACTTTTCTCATAGGTAGCACCCTTTTTTATCTTTTGAACATAACTATTGCGCTAAACGTTCTGATCTCAGATTGATGAAAGATGGACCTTTAGGTGAACACGACTATAATGTTAAGAATTATTACATATGTTTTGTACATGAAAAAGATAACACGTGATAAAATTAGCATATCTTAAACCCATCACATAAATTATGATTTCAAAAATTGCATCTATACTAGGATTTACTTTAGTCACTAAAATCCATCAACAAACTGTCGCACATTCCTGTTCGTTGTGGTGCACTTGAGGATGTCTACAATTCCTATTATCATCCAATAATTACCAAAAAAATATTAAGTCAGAAAATTCTAAATACAAAAGAAAGAATAAATTGCTTTAAAAAATTATCACATCATACCCCCATGAAACAATCTAGTAATGAACATAGATGGGTAGAACATGGAAAGGCATTTTCTAATTCAATTGTTACAGGCTCTTTTCCCTTTCTTTTGATATAAAATATACTCTTTAGATTCATAGCACATTCTTTCTTTCGGTTTTTTTTTTTGCTATGCATGTGATTGATTTGAGGTGATTTCTCACTTAGTATTGGTTCAACATGATCCGACAATTTTTTCAATGACTCTAACATATATTGTTCAGCCTCTTGATTGCCTTGGGCCTTGGAGCTTATGTGATATGAATATTTATGGATGTTGGTTAGAAAAATAACACCACTTTAGGAACCATTTTTCATGTGCAATTTTTTAAAGAGCTATAAAAATTTCCAAAGTATAAGTCTTTTTTTTCACCTAATGACAATCACATGAGGAGGTATCTTTCTGGAATCTTCGCTATATTTTCATGGCTAATAATTCAAATACAGTGGGCCCATAATAAACCCATAATTTCAAATTTTTTACACTACAACTTATATTAAATGTTACTTTGTAAAATTTAAAAATCCAATATTTGGTTGTTCCCTTTCTATCTAAATTGTTAATATAAAATTCTGAATGATTGCGATTAGATAACTCTGCAGCAAGATCACTTACCCCATGTAGAAAACTTCTTAAAAAATGAGTACATCTTTCTTGAATTGAATGGAGCAACTTATCTCGGCACATGGCTATTTTAGCAACGAATACAATCATAGATTGAGTGCATCTAAAATCTTTATCCTTCTCATTTTATCTTCATGTTGACATGACACTCTCAAGTCCCAAAAAAAATTCAGTGATAGAGCTTGTAGGTTTTGTAGACTCACTTCATTATGTGGATAAGATTCTCAAACTAAATAAATCTTTATTAAAGGATGTTGACCACTTTTGCCTAATGTTGTAGAGCTCACCTACCCAAACAATGTCATGTAGGTTCCCTATAACTCCTCTTCTGAATCACATTTACTCATACATGTATAAAATATACTATCTATTATTTTATTACTAGTAGAGTCATGTATCTTTGAAGAAAATTTCTTAAATAAATGCTACTGACATAATCTATTACTAGTATGATGAAATGTATCTTCTATAGTTCTCATCATTATTTGATCCTAATCAGTGAATATTGCTCATGGATACTTGTCATATATTATACAATAAACGATTTTAAATAACCACTTCAAGGAGTCAATTGTCTCGTTCGATAAAAACGCTACCCTAAAAAGTGCATTTTGCCAATGATAGTTAACCCTTACAAACAATGCACAAACTAAGTTATATTTATTCAATTTGTGAGTTTTATAAAAAAATATGACATTTCCAATTAGTCATATTTTACACTTGACATAACATCACTCCAAAAAAGCTCACCAACCTATCAGAATCATTAATCTGGAAGTGTCATGTAAATATACTATATGCAGCTTACCTTTATGTAAATAGTTGAATTAGAGCATTATTATCACCATGTTTAATTCTTACTCTTTTCTCCTTTTGATGAAAATTAAATGCATCTCCTTTTTAAAATCTTAATTTCTTTACTCAACAAACTTCCGTAGCAAGAAAGTTGAATGTATCCTTAGCTCCAACCCCTGCTTATATCATTGATTTGGGCACATCTTCGGTGATATAATTGGCACTCGGGATAGATCTTATGAGATGTTGGTAAGGAATGGTTATGAATTTCAATAAATGTATTAAATTTTCAATTTTCATCAATATCAACGTCATATCGAATAATGACTAGACAATTAGTCATAACGTCTACTCTTTTAAACTTTACCATGCTATTATAATTAGGCTCCTTTTTAAAAATAGCCTCACCACATAAAAAGTTCTTTAATTTGATATTCCTTCAGTGAATCCAATGTGATGTGCATAAGCATAATAAAATCCGTACACCTCATTTTCATTGTGCACAATGATGTTAAACAATCTGTCAATAATTGAATCACTAGCCACAATGTATGGCTCAAAAAACTACACACACAAACATATGATTTACAAATTGTAAGTTTTTAAGATGTGATAATATTGGTGTAGTATTAGGGTGGTATTAACGAGGCAATATGGTTGTATTGAGATGATATTAGGTGGTATTGTGATGATATTGAAGATTTTTGGTAATGATAATGATGGGGTGGTATTGTGGTGGTACTGAGATGATATTGTGATAGTATTGAGGTAATATTGGCAGTTTTAAGTCTAGATATTGTTGGTGTGGTGTTAATGTGGTAATGAGTGTTTTGGGTAAGGATATTGATAGTGCGGTATTGAGATTTATGGTAATGATACTGATGAGTTGGTATTAGTGTGGTATTGGAGGTTTTGGGTCGAGATATTGTTGGTGTGGTGTTGGGGTGGTATTGGGGTAGTATTGATGTGGTATTAAGGCGACGTTGAGAGTTTTGGGTGAAGATATTGATGATGTGGCATTGGTGTGGTCTTATGGTGGTATTGAGGTGATATTGGGTTGATATTAAGGGATTTTCATAATGATATTGATGGAGTGATATTAGGATGGTATTGAGGTGATATTGAAAGTTTTGGGTGAAGACATTTTTTGGTGTGTTAGTGGTGTGGAATTGGGATGGTAGTAGGTGTTATTGATGTGGTATTTTGCTGATATTAGGTGTAAGGATGTTTTGAGGTGATATTGGTTTGGTATTGAGGTGGTATTGATGTGATATTGTGGTGGTATTGTTGTATTTGATGAAGACATTGATGTATTGGTGTGGTATTGAGGTGACATTGATGTGATATTGAGTATTTTTGGTGAAGATATTGACGGGGTTGTATTTGGGTAAAATTGGGTGGTATTTTGAGGTATTGATGTGGTATTGGGTTGGTGTAGTGTTGGTGGTGTTCATGTTGATATGGGTGGTATTGGGGTGGTATTGGTGTTGTATTGGTGTGCTCTTGGTGTAGTCTTGGGGTGATCTTGGTGTGGTCTTATGGTGACGCAAATTTTTCTCCCATAAATGCTCCAAATCTTTCAATACTCTAATGTGAAAGACAATAGATAATGACATTGTAAGCATTTACTATTTAAAACGTGGTGGTGGTATTGTGTTAGCGTGAAATGGTTGTGAGAATGAAATTCAAGCTTATAATATCAAAATATCATTGATTTATACTACGAGATAAAAAAAAAAAGCCGTGTGATGATTGCCGTGTGATGATTTCAATGTGAGGATGATTTCAATGTGAGACAAACTAACATCCATTTCATTCTTGTCGTCTTTTTGTTTGCTTTCCATCTTCAAAATTTATAATAGCCCTTATCTCCTCAATGTGCCGCAGCAAATCCTAAATGAAAACCTTGAAACGTGAGGAAGAAATGAAATCGGACGTGGAAAGCGGAATGGGACGCCCTAAAGAAAAATGGCAAAAGAGGGCACGATGCTAATTTGAATAGGTGGCTTTTTTTTCGTAATATATTGGGCTAGTTTCGGGCTAGGTTCGGTCAGCTCAAAAAATTCACCTTTTCTCCCATTTCATTTAATATACCGGTTAGATCCTCAATATGTCGGGTGTCACATTCTATTCTATAAGAAATTAAACCCTCAACTACTATATTACAGATAGATGTGCAAAAATTTCAACTTCAAATTGCCTCTTATTGTCATTTTAATTTTTTTTTCAAATAATTATGTATATAATACTAAAAAAATAATTTTTTTATAAAATTATCTTTTTTTATCTTTTATATCTTTATCAAAATATTACAGCTCATGATAAAATTGATTGAGATATGTACAGCTAAATAAATTTAAGACTATAAAAATAAATATTATTTTTAAGCTTTAATACTTCTATCTTTTCATGTAACAAAAAACTGGTGCATTTATTCAAAATATAGTAATATTGAGGGTCGTGTCTTGTCATATTACTCTTTCAGCTAACCTTTCCGGAAAAAAAAATAATTAACAAAAAAATCGTGATGATTTTTTGCGGGTGGCAGGGTGCGGCCAAATTTCTTTCTGTCCGTGGAAGTCTACGACCCAAAATGGACTTCAAGCGTGGAGGCAAAAGACAAGGAAGCGAAGGGGAGCGAAGACAGCCATTAAAGAATGGACAGAATGAGACGGCTTCTATATTCCGTGGCCTTCTTCCCTCCATAATTCTCTCGCTTCCGATCGTGTAAACAGTGTGGATTCGCTGGATCTCTAATACATTCGCTTCGGTTTTCTCTCCTAAAATCTGTGATCAAGGAAGCTTTGGAAACGACAGAATACCTAAAGAGGCGCAGCGGAGAAAGATTAAAACCAGAGGGGATGGAATCAATGGCGAAGGAGAACGGATTAGCTGCATCTTCGATCCCTGCGGCGACGAATCCGATGGTGACACCGCTACTCACCGACCAGTATCAGTTCACCATGGCTTACGCCTACTGGAAGGCCGGTAAACATCAAGAGCGAGCCGTGTGCGTATTCATCCTAGTCGAACTCTGCTTACGCTCGTTTTTTCTTCTCAAAATTCTTTTTCTAATGATTGCTGATTAATTGGTTACGTTTTGATTTATTTGCCAACTTTGTTATGTTTCCGGTTTCTTCTATTAGTTTTGGTTTAGGTAATTTTTTTGTCTTCGTTGCTGCATGTGTAAGAAAGAGGCCTGGCATTAGCTCCTCTGTTTTTTTTTATCATTTTCTGTTACCAAATAATTTTATGATGTCCTTTTTTCGTTGATAATGTCACACCGGGTCCAAGAGATGATACTTTCCAACAAGATAGGGCCTGATGATATGATGTGAACCTATTTTGTATTATCAAATGAAAATATTATACAAATGTAATCACCAAAATAAACAAATAAAAATAATTTATTTCATAAATAAAAGTTTAACTAGTAATATAACTACAAGAATAGAAGAAACTAATTGAGAAGAAATTGACAGGACAATGGATAAATAACTAACCAGACCCAAAAAAATAATAATTAATGCAAAAATTGAGTGACTGAGTATAACCTAATATATAAAAATTCAACAAGTGAATTTGATAAATGAAGCTCAGTAAATAATTACTATTTATTAAAAGTGTAAACGATAAAAACTTGAGACATGCAGTATAAGCAACAAAAAGAGACAATTACTATAAGTGTGGATAACATCATAAGCCATCAAGTGTGTTTTAAATGTTATTATGAATATGCTCAATTATCTTCATGAAACATGAGTCCTTTTAAATTAGATCAAGTTTTATGAGTGTATAACTTATCAGTTATTTATTATTCAGTTTCAATTTAATTTATATTCAGGTTATAAGACATCCTGAAACTGGGAAGATAAATATCAACTCAAAGAAGCCCGATGATTTCCTGTAGAGTCATTATTTGGTGGGCTTATCGACTCGGCTAACTAATATCTAAAAGATTTCTATCGACTTACATACCATCACACGTAAGTATATAAATTTTTTCACAGGTAAATATTTAAGCAATATGTTATTTCACTTAGACTTGTTATGACAAAAAATTACATATAATTTATAAAAGTATACAAGAAAAGAAAATATTATAATTGCAGGATTTAGTTAAATATGCAAAAAGTTGTGAATTCATAAATTAAGACAGGTAATTCCGTTATTACGAGCAATAATTATAACAAGTACAAAAGGAAATATGAATGAAGTAGCAAAAACATTATTAAAATTCCTATAAAATAACTTTGAATTTATTATAAGCAACATGATAACGCCTCTAACGAGGAAAGATACATTTATTCTCCAATAATAAGTAGTTACGTATCTCGAGGCGACAAAACTAAAATTTCTAAGTATTTCATTGATTAAACTTGCATTGACCAGCCGTTCCACATAAATGAAAATTTAGACTATAAACAATTATGTAAATAAAGATATTAAATCTAATTAAAGTTATTTCTCCCTTAAATTATCATAATAATCAAATAATTGATATAAATTTACAACACACATACAAACATGTAAATTTTGCATTAAAATAGAGAGAAAAAAATGTGGGAGGAGGGGCTTACGATGCCAAGCAATCGAGGGAGGAGGAGAGTATTGTTCAGTTGAAAGAACAACTCAGTGACAATCACCGAGTAAAGGCGAGGAAAGTGTGATAGCCCAAACATTCACCTATGAAGTTATCGTTCACTTTGGCTTAGTGATCTCATAATTTTGCCCCGTTGGTGTAACTTTCCAAGAGGTCACCCATCCTAGGACTGCTCCCATAGAAGCAAGCTTAACTTTTAATTTTCTATTGAAATTTCACCGTTACACTGAAAGACACCATATTGTTTAAGAGTTTGGCTTTATTCTACTAAAGGGGAGAAAGGGTTTAGGAGAGAGATTTGGCAGTTGATGAGGGGGATTTTGGGTCAAAGGACTGCGATGACAGCCCTCCTAATCCTTTAAATAGGGGACATCGTCAGTGAATGATAGATGCAGAAGGTGACAAGCATAAGGGAGAAAAAAGAGATAATATGATTTGGAAAGGTGGTGCCGGACAAAGTTGTGAAATTCACGTGATTAAAAAGGGGAAAGTAGCACAACAAGCTTGAATTGGGAAGTCGATACAGGAGAAGATCGCATGGCTCCAAATCTGGAAGGTGACAAGGGATGAAAACAAAAATCACGCAATCCAAATGCTATTGGCGGCGAATGTCATGTGATCTAGGAAAAGAAGTTTGGTTCTCACATACTCCCCCTTAAAAGAATTTATTCTCCGTTCATAGCTTAGTTCTGGAAAAATACATATACTTTTTGACCATCTCTTCTTAAATCACTCAAGCGGCTTCTTGCTCTGACTGTTTTTCCAAAACACTATGATAGAAGGAATTGACTGTGGAGAAACCTGTCGAGTGATCTGATAATTCTTCAGAACTTAGATCTTCTTGAATCACCAATGGACTTGTACTGGATGATGTGGGAATCACATGCACAAGAACGGAAGTAGAGAGATATAGAAGACATTGTGTACTCCTACAAGTCTTGGACGAAGAACTAACTATATGAGACTCTGTCGACTCTTTCGACTCTTTCGATCACATCAAAAGGACAAATGAAGTGATGTTGAAGCTTTCCATTCTTTTTAAATCTCGTAACTTCACGTATGGACGATCCCTTAAAAAAAATATAATCTTCAATATTAAATTCAATAACTCTATGTTTGGGGTCAAAATAATTCTTATGATGATCCTGGGCCGCACGAAGCTGATCTCAATTCTTACGAATCTTTCGATAGCTTGACTACTAACTGAGATCCAAATATTCCTCTCTTCAACCTCAAACCAACATAAGGGGGATCTGTACTTTTTGCCATAAAATGTCTCATACGGTGCCATGACAACGCTAGTCTGAAAGGTTTTATTATAAGCAAACTTCACCAGAGGAATATAGTCCTCACAACTATCCGCAAAGTCCAAAATGTAAGCTATCAACAAGTCTTCTAAGGTTTAAATGGTGCTCTCTGATCGACCATCTGTTTAGAGATGAAAAAAAGTACTAAAATTCAATCTTGTACCGATAGCTTCTTGCAATTGCTTCCATAACCTAAAAGTAAATCTTCAATCTTTATATTATATAATGAACGTTGGAATTCCATGTAGCTGAATGATATTATCTATGTAGATCTTGGCTAATTTCTCTCTTGAATTAGTTCACTTGATTGATAAAAAATGATATGACTTAGTCTATTGACTACAACCCAAATAACATTATATTCTTGCTTCGATCTCAGCAATCCAACTACGAAATCCATTGAATTCTCCTCCCATTTTTACTATGGAATGGTATGGGGCTGCAATAGAACACCATGTCTCTGATATTCAACCTTGAACATCTAACATGCTAAACACTTGGCTACAAACTTAGCTACGTTGGTTTTCATAGACGGCCACCAAATAGCTTCTTGAGGTCTTGATATATTTAGTACTTTATGGATGAGCAGAATATGAAGTACAATATGCCTCGCGGAATATCTCTTGTGAAAGTCCTTCCTGATCTAGAACACAATCGATCCTAAATTCTAAAAGCGTCATCTTGATCAATATTAAACTTGAGCTTCAAGCCATTCTCAACTAGCTCTTTAAGTTATAGTAAGTTTGCATCCCTCATCTGAGCTGTACCAACACGATCCACAAGTATGGGCTGAACTAACAGTTGACACATGACTAGATTAGCTCTTGTTAGTAATATCTCGAGCTAGAGTCGCTCAATTTCTCGTACTAACTCGTGCTCCTGAGTGATCATCTAAGCTACATACATCGATGATTTTCTACTTAAGGCATCTACAATCACATTCGTCTTACTAGGGTGGTGTTGAATCTCTACGTCATAGTCCTTCATCAACTCGAGTCCTCATCTTTGCTTTAAGTTTAACATCTTCCGAGTAAAAATATAATTCAAGCTCTTATGATCGGTGAAAACTTCACAACGGATGTTATAAAGACAGTGTCTCTAAATTTTCAAGATAAAAATAATTATAGCTAACTCATAGTTATGGGAAGGATAATTCCTCACGTGGACTTTAAATTGTCTAGAGGCATAAGCTATAACTCACATTATAATACAACCCAATCCTTGATGTGAATCATCATTGTAGATTTGAAACTCTTTTGCACAAAAAGGAATGACAAGGATTGGTGGGTTGCGACCAAACAGTTCTTGAGTTTCTAATAAGTCTGCTCACAAATGTAAGACCATTCAAATTTAATAGCCTTCCGAGTCAACATTGATAGATGTGCAACAATACAAGAAAAACCTTCAACAAATTTTTGATAGTAACCAACTAACCTAGGAAAACTATGAATCTCTATGACATTGCTCGGTCTCGGCCAATCTATTATTCTTTTAATCCTTGCAGGGTCCACAGAAATTCCAGATCTGCTAATAATATGCTCCATAAATGTCTCTTCTCGAAGTCAAAAATCGTGCTAAGAGAATTTGACATAAAGCTTATTCTCTTGAATAGTATTCAATGCAACTTTAAGATGTTGGGCATGCTCCTCTTCATCGTTAGAGTAAACCAAAATATCATCAATGAAGACAACAAAAAACCAATTCAAATAGGGTTTGAATACTCTATTCATCAAACCCATAAAGACAACAAGGTCATAAGTCAAACCAAATGATCACTACAAACTCATAATACCCATGTCGAGATCTAAAACTAGCCTTCAAAAGATATTCATTCTTAATATTCAACTGATGGCAGCTAGATCAAAGGTCGATCTTGAATAACACAAAAAAACCTTGCAGTTGGTTGAACAGATCATCTATACGAGGAATTGGGTACTTGTTCTTATTGGTCACCTTATTCATCTCTTTATAATTGATGCATAATCTCATGTTCCAATTTGCATAATCTCAAGTTCCCATTTTTTTTCTTCACAAAATTGGTGCTCTCCAAGGTGAAACACTGTGTTGCATGAATCTTTTATCAAGCAATTCCTTCAACTGAACCTTAAGCTCTTGGAGTTTAGCAGCGGTTATCTGATAAGATGCTTTAGAAATTGGAGTGGTCCTTGAAAGTATATTAATGTTGAACTCGATCTTATTGGTGGCAACCTAGACAAATCTTCAGGAAATACATAAGCAAAATCTCAAACAATTAGAACACTATCTAAGATAACACTGGATTGGTTGGAATCCACCGCATGAGCCAGAACCAACACACTCATGAAACATCAACTTGCTAACCTTGAAAATAACACCTCTACTACCTTGAAACTGTGTGGGCGCATTGATAGTAGAGGAGTTCTCGGTGAACTTCTATATTAATTGCCAACCTTCATTGCTAGTAATCTGTACGCACACACATATACATACACATATATAAGTGTACACACACACACCACACACACACATATAAATATATACAAATATACACAAATATATATACTTGATATATGGATATATGGATTTCCCATGCATACTAGAATTGCTTCCGTGAAAAACCTTCCCTATCGCCCAAATGTCACAGGCCATTTAATTATTTGAGAGGACTTCCGTTGATATTAACTTAATATCTCTTCCCCGTTATTTTGTTTTATTTTATTTTATTTTTTTGGGCTAGAATTGCATTTGTTATGTTATTTCTATTTTCAACTTAGATCTACCAAGTTCTGTGGTTGTCTTTCTCATTAGCATTTATTAGCATTTTGAAAATTTTAATTACTCTCTATAAGCAAATGTTACATGATTAGTTATTTTTTGCTTATATTCCTTCGATATTTTATTGATTGGCTTGGTTATTTTGGTTGTTTTTCTGTCCCTCTCCTTTGCTACAGTTTTGATCTGTTCTTCCGAAAAAGTCCTTTTGGCGGTGAATACACAGTTTTCGGTGGTCTGGAAGAATGCATCCGGTTTGTTGCCAATTTCAGACTGGACGAGGAGGAAATTTCTTATCTGCAATCTGTCATGCCAAGATGCGAGGTCTAAGATACCATTATCCGACAATTCTCAGTACATCAGAAATTTTTGTATAGAAAATGTTTTTCTCCTGTTTATATTAAAACTTTGATATTATGATGAACTAAATCTCACGTTGTTTACATTATATCTTAAAATGTGTCAGCATTAATCCTTAATTGATGCTGTTGCTTATTAATTCACCTGATTAATTTTAAACAATATATGTTTTCATGTATTTCAACTAATGAAATATTTTATCTTATCCTTTTGTCCTTGACTTGCGTTAGAACATATTTCATGATTGTTTTATACTTAGGTGAATACTAGTAAAAATTTACTCTACAATTTTTGTTTAGTTTTGCACTTTAATTTTGATGACAAAATATTTATACTTTTTATGATTGGAATTTTTGTTGACCTTTTTCAATGTCATCATTCGTTTTCTTAGGATGGATTCTTTGAGTTTCTTAGGGATATTGATTGTTCAGATGTTGAAGTTTATGCCATTCCTGAAGGTTCTGTTGTCTTTCCGAAGATGCCACTAATGAGGGTTGAAGGACCTGTTGCTGTAAGTATTTTAGATAACATACTTTTGGAATGCCATCCATTACTGGTTTGGACTATTCTATCTTATTTCCTAGTTGAATTTGACCAATTACCAGTTAATTCTAAACAAATTGCAAACTTGACGTTTTGATGGCAGTTCAGAAAGAATAATATGCTATATTTTCTATAGGTCGTACAACTGCTTGAAACTCCATTTGTGAATCTTGTCAATTTTGCGTCATTGGTAACTACCAATGCTGCACGGCATCGTCTAGTTGCAGGAAAATCTAAAACCCTGCTTGAATTTGGTTTAAGGCGTGCACAGGTGCTGCTAACTTTCTTTGCACAAGCTGTATATTTTCTATATGGAAGAAAATTAACTTCTTTCTTTGTTTAGGGTCCTGATGGTGGAATGAGTGCTTCTAGATATTGTTATATTGGTGGTTTTGATGCAACAAGGTATTTTGTCACGACACTAACCCATCAACTTTGTGGTAACAAATTTCCATGAATTTTCGGCATTCATAGTGTTACTGATTTTTCTGTATGCTTTGTTGAGAAAAAAAAATTATGCCTTATGCCAATGTCTGATATGTGAGTTAACCCAAAACAATGTCAGGAAAGTAAATGTTATTACTGAAAACAAATAAGTGATTATAACTAAACACACTTGAAAGGGATATATAACAACAAACAGAAGCAAAAACTACTAATGTGTATCTCAAGGATAGTGGAGGTCAGCTAGGTGGATCGGAATGGCTTGTTGATGTGGCGGCAACAAGAGGATGTTGGTAGCAGCAAGGGGGAAGCGCGAAAATATAGGGACAACAAGTATGATTGTTGTCTTAGATGGTGGTGGTTACTAGGGGTAGGTAGTGATAGAGTAATAAGAAGGCGGTGTTCCCTGTCGGTTCTGGGTGGCGGTGACAAGGTGGGAGGGCTGGAACAACAGGAACAAGACTAGAAAGGGGCGATTTGGGTGGCAATAATGCAGAAAGGGAAGGAGGAGACGGTTGGGCAACCGGAAAACAACAAGGTGAAATGGTTTTTGGTGGCATCAACGATACAAAATGATTGGATTTTGGCGACAACGATGTTGATGGACTGGAACTGCTAGGTTAGCGAAGCAGGCCGCGGGTGTAAAGGGTTGATCGACCCTCCTTAACCGGTCCAAGCCTCAATTTTTCACCGCGATGGCTTGAACTGTAGAAAATAGCAACCATAAGGTTATCCTGATCGGTTGTAGTAATGAAGGGCGGCAGGGAGAGATGTGAGGAGGATGCAGATGGGGATAGGGATGATACAGACAATTGGGAGACCAATAGACAGCTGAAGCACCACATGAAGCCTTAGGATAGAACCTTCAATGGGAAGAAGAGAAGCCGACGACTGTCCCGGTACAAAACACACAAAAACTACCCTAAAACAAAAAATTGCATACTCTTAGACCTAGGGTAAATAAGAGTGGACCCCACTCCCAATAAGAGGGAAATCCGTGTAAAGGGTTGATCGACCCTCCTTAACCGGTCCAAGCCTCAATTTTTCACCGCGATGGCTTGAACTGTAGAAAATAGCAACCATAAGGTTATCCTGATCGGTTGTAGTAATGAAGGGCGGCAGGGAGAGATGTGAGGAGGATGCAGATGGGGATAGGGATGATACAGACAATTGGGAGACCAATAGACAGCTGAAGCACCACATGAAGCCTTAGGATAGAACCTTCAATGGGAAGAAGAGAAGCCGACGACTGTCCCGGTACAAAACACACAAAAACTACCCTAAAACAAAAATTGCATACTCTTAGACCTAGGGTAAATAAGAGTGGACCCCACTCCCAATAAGAGGGAAATCCGTGTAAAGGGTTGATCGACCCTCCTTAACCGGTCCAAGCCTCAATTTTTCACCGCAGCTCGCAGTACTGTAGCATGGATCACAGAAACATCCTTGTGGAAAACTCTTTCGTCAGTCTTTTTGGTTTAATGGAACTTCAACCTCATCTGTTGAAGCTTCTGACTCTTTCTAGTTTAATGTCAACCAGTCATATTTGAAATGATGGGAACATGGTAATCTTTTGGTAAACCAATTATGTTGCATCGACAGTCCAAAGTACATCCTGATAAAATAAGTATCAATTCTCTTTTGGCACAATCTGTAACACTCAATTTTGAGAAACATAAAATTTTGGTAATTGTAAAATATACCCAAATTTTGCATTCCACAAAATTTGATCGAGTCAATTTTATAAAATTCTACATGTTGAATCAATCAATTTGATATATAGAACTATATATGAATTTTGAATACAATAGGGGATATACAAATAAGAATATATTAATTTAATTAAACTAATTAAACCCTTAATTAATTCTTAATATCTGGATCACTCTTTCTTGTCGACATTTCCCACACATAGGAGTAAATGTAATAGCTGAATTTGATCGAACATATGGGATTAAATGGAATCAAGGCTAAATCTCTTAATCCCTTCTCTTCCCCTCTCCTAATTTTTGTTCACGCATGAAGCTCCGCTCAGTTCTTGTAACGTGACCATAGGAAGCTCGATCATGCGACTCAGGGTTCCAGGAGAAAACAAATGGTAGGAAACACTTTCACGATATTTCAGACATTCATTTCCTTTCATACATTTTCATTTTGACATTTGCTACGAATTCAAGCATTTAATGGGTTGCCTATTGTTGTGGCTTTGTGGAAACTGACACAGGATTGTCGAACCGAGAGCTACACTCTTCGGTAGGTCTATTTTATGAGTTTACGAATGGTTAAGGGAAAAGGAAGTAGTGGGAGCGGAATAGGCATGTATGGGGGAGACATTTATGTTGTGAAGCCTTTTTCAAGTAAGTTAAAGCAAGAAATTATATTTGGGGTTAAATTAAGATCTCAACTGCAAATTTATATGAATTTTTAAGGGATTAATTCCATCTTGTTTACATTATGCGGCGAACTCGAGGCAAGCTTGAGGAAATTCATTGTAGGGCTACTCCGTCAATTCAGGTGAAATAATTTTGTGCTAACTTGAGAAAAATAACTCTTTGTAGGTTTCCATGGGATTATGTTTGACATTATTGCATTTAGAATTTTTTGCATAATATGGATGAATATCTACATTGACTATATGAATGCAAACTTAATTTGTTTTTTACGGTACATATAATTTTACTATGCTATGATTGAGAGATATATTTAAAAAATTATTGCTTGCATGTATTTATTTAGTATGATTCATGCATATGACGTATGACATGCTTATGATGAATTTTTGTTATATGAATTATGATATAAGAAATGTGATATGTAGGTAGGCTATTTTGTGAATACTTGCAAGTACGGATGACACAGAACAATGAGATTCTCGACTCTTGACATTCTAACTGAGACGAACCTCTAAGAATTGTTGGAATTAGATGAGAACATAATGTAATGAACAGTTAGTATTAGGGGGGCAGCAGTTAATATAGCCTTCGGGCTGGCTGATGACACATGACATGATAGGATATGGAAATAATTAAGATCAATACAATTACAAGTGACATTTTCTATTATTAGATTGACGACTCTTACGAATATGCTTATAATTACACATGAATGGATAGTATAAATGTTTTGTACAAGAGTCATAATTATCTACATTACATGTTTTATATGATTATAGTATGTTATAACAGGTGTTGTCGACATGTACAAAAGTTATATATGAGCATGCATTTTTCTTTTTTGTTTACAAAATTTTATTTAGGTTTTGATTATTTCACTGAGTTTGTTGTAGCTCACTCTAAATTGTTGAATTTTAAGAGCTACGAAATATTAGGGCGAGTAGTCAGACGTGACTTGTACAACTTTTATATTTCATAGTTTTGAGAGTTTGTATAGACTTTTGAGTACGTGCTTTTATTATTTTGGATTTAGCAATTATATATATATAAGGTTGTGCAAGCATATAAAATGAAATGAATTATATACGTTTATGGCGAATTAGTTAGACTGATTCTTTACTCACTGAGTCTAGATTTTGCGAGTCAGGATTAGTGCTGGTGAGAATTTGGTCTGACCTAATCCTTCGCCTATGTTTTGTCATAGTAGACACTTAAAGGGGGTTAGTTTGGGGGTGTGATAGAAATTGATATTAGAGCAAATTTAATGGATGAAAAGAATGATTGATGTGTGTTGGACTTTAAAGAAGTAAAAACAAGTTCAAATCTGAGTTGATTTATACAAATCTATAGGTTGATTGAGTTGGGTTGGGTAACCTATATGAATTAAGGTATCATGCATACATGACTATATGATAAGTTGCATTGATTAATAAATTGTGCCAAAATAGATAAATATGTCTGAGGATGAATCAAAAAAACTGAAGACACCAACCTTTTACGCCAATTGCAGAATAAGAAAGACATGCTGAAAGTGATTCGAACAAAAATGATATTAAGAATAGGGCAAATGAAGAAACCAGTGCCACTGAGCTATAGGGTATTATTCAATTGATATCACAAGCAGTTGATTAAAAGATCTTCTTCTAGCGCAGGTCCTAGAACTGAAGATATTACAATAGTTAATCGATTTTTGAATCTTATTCAAACATTCAAGTCAAATGCATTTAAACATGTCATTGACCCTATAACTGCTCGAGATTGGCTATTGAAGATTGGAAGGATTCTGAATTCCATGATTTGTCTAGAGAATAGGAGAGTGGTGCTAGCCACTTTCATGTTATAAGGAATACGAGAGTGGTGCTAGCCACTTTCATGTTATAAGGTAAAACAAAAAAATGGTGGCAAACACAGTATAGAGAGAAATTCTAGCTAAAGCTTCTTCCATAGATTCAATGGGATGAGTTTAAAGTCTTCAAGGACTGGTTTATTTTATCTTCAGAGAAATTAGCATTGCAAGATAAATTCTTCAATCTTACTCAGGGGTTTAAGACATATATGTAGTATGTGGTAAAACTTACTTCTCTTTCTAGATATGCACCCCACTTTAATAGTACCCAGAAAAAAAAATGTCCGATGTGTGCGTGTTTTTCGAGATTGATTGAGATTATCTTTTGCTCTTTTTGAAAGCAATGACTTCTCAGTGCAAGTGCTAAACTTCTTTAATCAATGGTGGAAACCCAAGCAAAAAGTGACAATATTTTGGCAAAGAACTCTAGAGCAAGAAATTTAAATCAGAAGGTAAGTCAAAGCAACTAGAGTAAAAAATGATAGTTTGTGAGAAGTGTGGTAAAATATATTTTGGGTAGTGTTTGATGGGTTCATGAATGTGTTATAGATGTGGACAATCAGGGCATCTTCAGATGAACTCTCTGTCGGCACAAAAAAGAGAAAGAAAAGGATTGTTTGGGGGGTCGCCCGTAAGAAGCTGTCGGCAGCCGGAATCGAAATCCCGTCACCCGCTTCGGAAGGACTTTTTAATTTACGTATATATATATATATAATTTTAGA